TGTAGGATGTGGAGGACTGACATGCCACGTTTGAAAATGATGCGGATAACACCACCTACGATGGGATTTTGACAGATTTGTGTTTCGCAAACATCGAGTGGAATGGTCGCCAAACCATTCGATATTCGGTCAACCGTGAGCGTCTTCAATCGCTCACCAAGTTATGGAATCATTTCCTCAAACACAAGCTCATGCCTACATCTCACAATACGACGGTATCATTTTCTCGTATAATGCTTTTGCACTCGATCATGGTATCCCGTCCTATTGATGTTGGTCGAATTATTGTTCATCAAGTTCATGAGTGTTCGGGTAAGAATGCAAATGCTTTAGTGTTCCCTAATTTAATTACTACTTTGTGTCGTAAGAAAAAGGTTGAAGAGAATGTTTTTGATGAAATTTTACCTGGAATTTCAGGCATAACTAGGGCTAGATTACCACTGTTATTGGGGATTAAAAACCCAAAGTCTAAGGACCCTGCTCATGAGCAATCTACAGGTACTAAACAATCAAATTTCGAGGCAAGGTTGCTTTCTCTCAAGGAAGTTGTGATGCAGACTCAGACTCACCTGCATGCTTTACACAGTGACATCCGTAATTTCTTTGGATATGTGAAGCATAGAGATGTTGTGGTAGAAGCGATGTTTCAAGAAATTCTTCCCCACGTTCAACAGAATTTCCCTGGTTTTCCAGGTGAAATTTTACCGGCATTCAATGCTGAGGCATCTCCTGAGCCCGAGCAAGATGCATGCAACCTCCAGTTGATGAACTGACTCCTGATCCGCACCGTTCCAAGACTCCTGAATATCCACCTACTGTCCCTGTTGAAGAAACACCCAGGCATGTTTCTGCACCCGATCCTTCTCCTACATCACGTAGTGGCTGACGTACCAAAACCACGGCTGGACGTAGGAATATTGGCACTATTACTCTAGTTTTTCAGAGTCCAGCCCAGTACGACTACACAAGCGTACCAGACGAGGAGTTGCCAGTAGCTCCAAGGCAACACCACCACACAAACCATGAGGTATCTCACTTGCATTTATTTTCATTTAGTTTGCATTTCATTGCATGGCATGTAGTTTTTATATAGTTTTTTTCTCTTTAAGCATCGAGGACAATGTTTCCCTTAAGTTTGGGGGAGGTAGTGTTCTCAGCAAAGCATATGCATAATAGCATTAGCGTAGTATTATGCCATTACATTAGTAAATGGTAGGATATTTAGATAGAATGTTTTGAGGATACCCAATGATTATGAAATTTTTTAGACTAAAAATTGAATGTAAATGACTATTGAGAATGATAGAACTCACTCTAGGGCTTGATGCTTTGTGAATTATTTGTACACGATTTGTATGTTCTCTATACTTAGAAAATTTGGAAAATTTTTATGAAGGACCTCTAGTTAGTTTTGGCATTGAAATAGAGTAATGGCTTAAATGAAATATCAAAAATAACTCCCTTATATATGAAACTGTGAATAAATGCTTAGGCTTAGCTGTAGAGGGACAATCCTCTATGTTGTGGCATTGCTTGGAACTCTCTCTAATAAATGGCAGCCTCGCGCATATGAGTGAATGAAAGTAGTCACGGGATGACTCTACTTAACTAGCTTGGGGGTGGAAGGTATGCTCCCTTTCACCTAGAATGTGGGAGAGTAGGTGTGATGAGCTGACTCCCTTCGTAGTAGCATCTAAAAAAGGGAGTAAAAATGTGCTTAACGAATGAGTAAATGCCTTGGCAAAACCTAGGGGACATTATTAGAAATTGTCTAAGTTTACTACGTATAGATTGGATACAATCACGCACACACACTACCGCAAAGGATCTTGACCTAGGGAAAAGTACTTGACTTCTCAATATGTCTAGCATGTTGAAGCCTATTTTCTGAGGGTTAAAATTCAATTTTTTCCTACTATCCTATTGTTGAAAAATGCCATGACATTTTGCCTATGTAACTGCTATCTATTGCTTGAGGACAAGCAATAGCTTAAGTTTGAGATGGTGTTAACTTCCTAAGAAGGCTACTTTTAAGGCCTTTTTCACTTAAGTTATTGTTTGTTTAAAAGCCCATTTTAGTCATTTTAGGATCATGTAGTTGCATGTGTGGTGGTATTGCTATTTTATTTCTTAATGGTGTTGTATGAGAGAAAGGTGCAATTGTTTGTGGTGTGCAGGGAATAGCAGACAAATGGATTCTTCAGGAAGTAATGCCACAGCATCACATATTGTTGAAGCAGATTAAAATGCCTTGGTATTTCTGGTGCAGAAAATGATAAAAAGATACAGCTGTACGAGGACAGTTGGCTCTGTACATGAAATGATTGTTGTAACCGCCTGCCAGAGGACCACTGCCACCTGGAGGATAAGGTTCACACATATGGTGTGATTCTAGGGGTATTTTTCACCCAAAAACCTCATCATTACCCCTAGATATTTTTATTATATACGACACCTCATTGGAGAGACAAAAGAGAAGCCATAGACACACGCATAGAGCAAAAAAATCTCATTTTTATTTTCTTTTTCCCTTCTTCTTCCTTGGGTGTTCCTCCATTGATAAAGCTCCAAGAAGTGGCGAGCTAGCGATCTAAGGTGGTTTGTGGTGGCCGAGGAGACCTCTGGTGGCGTGCGTCGAAGGCTTCTTCTCATTTCCCTTTTGCTGTTATTTTTCTATTTATTTTTGGGTTGTTGGAACGAATATTTTAAGGCTTGTTCTTTGGATATTTTGAACCCCGCCATTAACTAACTTATTTGGTGGTGGTTGGTTTTATGGTTGTTTAAACTTTATTTTAATAGTATATTTATGTTTATATTGGTTATTTGCTTGTTTTGCTTATGAATGCTTCTCTATCTAATCTTGTAAAAGGCATGAGAGTGTCCATTTCTTAGATGAAGGTTAGGTGTTCGAGAGAAACCTAAGCTAAAAATACTTGAAGTATTCGAGAGAAACACAAGATAAGATCCTCATAAGCAATGGGTTATAGTATTTTCAAGGGGCTTTAAACCGGCCTAGGAATACTATATCCTAATCCCTTAGTACTCGAGAGAGACTATGATAGGATTTCAATGACTAAAAAGGGTGATTTTATCAATAGTGTGGTCTGTCAACATCGTTGAGTGAGAGCAGATGCCTTGGCATTCCATTTTGTTAGGTTCCTTTGCTTAAAGGGAACACTTTAGGAAAACCCTGTCGAGTAAGTAAAGATTAGATAGCTTAAATATGCCTGAGAGATAAGTTTTGCATCCTTAAATCAATCCCTACCATTCATTCCAGTGGAAGTTTGTCGTTTGAGGATTATCAACTCATCTTTTATTTGCTGTTTATTTACTGTTTTTACCATTTTGCATTGCCTCGACATTACATAATTTTCAACACTAAACATTTATTCTTGCCACTTCATTTCCATTTGCTACACCATCATTTCATTCATCTACATCCACCTTCATACACTTTTCATTTGCTGTGACATTGTATATATAAACACTAACTATACATAGATAGAGTAGTGCTTTGCTTTGGTTAGACTTTTGTAATTTCACCCAATCCCTGTGGAGACGATACTCACTAGGGATGGAAAAAAAACCCGAACCCGACGGGGAAAACCGAAAACCGAATTAAACGGGTCGGGTTCGGGGACGCTAAACGGGGACGAGGACGGGGACGGGGACGGGGAAAACCGTTTATGCTAAACGGGGACGGGGACGGGTTTGGTAATCCCCGACCCGATTACCCGATTACCCGCCCCGATACCCGACCCGATACCCAGCCCGATAAATATTAAAAATAATATATATATATATATATATATATATATAATATTAATAAATTTAATTTATATTAAAAAATATATAAAGGAGATTAATATAGTATTATAATGTTTATATCGTACTTGGTGTTAATTAGTTTGACTTTGTTAATCCATGTTTTAGGGTTTCCAGCAAATTAAAATCCAATATACCTTTGTGTTGCTGCCTCCCCCTCTCTTTCTCTCAAATCAATTCGTCGAGGTCTATTGGATTTCCGAAGGTATGTAATTATAATTTTGTTTGATTTTTCTGCATTCAGTTTTGTTTTCCTGCTTGTGTATCTTTGATTTATATATGGTAATAAGAAAGCTTGAACCATCATAGGTATAGAAGCTGGGGGTTTTATCTTCGGTCCTCCCATTGCACTAGAAATTGGAGCAAAGTTTGTTCCCTTGAGAAAACCGAAGAAGTTGCCCTGTAAATAGATTTGTATGTATAGCCACTTCAGTCGTGCTCGTCGTTTCTCGAAAGTATCTTTTTTCTAATACTGTAAATTTTAATTATCATTCATATATGTAGATTTTATTTCTCTTTAATTTTCAAGGTTATGAAACAGTCTCGTAAGTTTCAGGCTCTAGAGTTGCAATTTTACAGCAAGTGCAAGTTCATTCTTAAGTCCATTTTTGTATGATAGTTGAGCACATTAATTATCTAATGAATGTAGAATGTGACTGTTTGATCAAAATCCTATGTTAATGCTTTGATGTTATCCATGTTTATTCTTTTAGATTGCACATGTCAATCTAAAGGGAGAAATGTACCTCTGATTCATATTGGTTTCCATTGACCTTTAGAAATTAAGTAGTCGTAGATGGTATATCTGCTGCTGCATGTACTTTTTGATTTAAAGTTCAGTGGTTTAGATAAATCCTTTTGTATAGAATTAGTTCTTTAATTTCCAATTAGATTCTGATTATTATAAAAAAATTAATTATCTAATTATTACTACTTCAAACCATAGAAATCACCTGCTAAATGTTAATACCATTTCTGATTATTAATAGCTACTTTTCTTGATGAAGGTTGTTTCATAGCAATAATGGAAGGTCAACGATCCATAGATGATAATTCTAATGCGCGGGCACAAGCACAATCACAAGCTGAAAGCAATAACATGACTCAATCATCTCCGATGCCAAATAACCAAGGCCCATCCATTTCACCCATAGAAGAAGAACAAACACAAATCGATGATAGCAATATTGGTACAAATAGTAGAAAGCGAAAAACTTACTTCAGTTGTATGGAATCACTTTGAGAAGGTGAATGTTAACGGTGAGGATAAGGCAGAGTGTCGTTATTGCAAGAAAAAATTAGGAGCAAATAGTAAGAATGGGACACGACACTTGCATGATCATTTCAAGAGTTGTCCAAGGCGAACTTGTAGAGATATACGTCAACAAGTGATTGGGATGGGGCAAAAAACAACGGATGGACAAACAAATCTATCATGCTTAAATTTTGACCCCGAAAAATCAAGAAAAGATATTGCAGAGATGGTAATAGTGCATGAATATCCACTTGTAATGGTGGAACATCATGGGTTTCGAAAGTTTATGGTTGGTCTTCAACCTTTATTTAAGGTTCCATCTAGGAATACCTTAAAAAATGACATTCTCAAGATTTATGACTTCGAGAAAGAAAAAACAATGCGGTATATTTATTTGTTTAATCGGTTTCTAATTTGTATCTTGTATTTATTTGGTTTCTAATTTGTATGTTGTATTTATTTCAGTCTATTGGAGAAGATTCGAAGCAAGATTGCCATTACGACAGATATGTGGACATCAAGTAATCAAAAAAAAGGTTTCATGTCAATCACATCGCATTTGATCGATGATAACTGGGAGATGCAAAGCCGAATAATGAGGTACTTTAAACTTACCTTTTCTAGTTAGGTACTAAATATAAGAACTAAATTGATTATAATTACTTATTTACTAGGTTTATATACGTGCCTTGTCCTCATACTGCTGAAGTTCTTGCTGATGTGTTGTATGAATCTCTATGTGATTGGAACATTGATAGAAAAATATCAACAGTTACAGTTGATAATTGTAGCACAAATGATCTGATGATTCATTTATTATTAGACAAGTTGTCTTTGAACTCGTTGATTTTAGGAGGAGAGTTATTTCATATGAGATGTTGTGCACACATATTGAACTTGATAGTTCAAGATGGTTTATCTGTTATTGGGGATGGAATTGAGAGAATTAGGGATAGTGTTTATTTTTGGAGTGCAACACAAAAAAGAATAGAAAAGTTTGAAGAAGCGGCTCGTCACTTGGCAATTGATTGCTCAAAGAAATTGTCTCTTGATTGTAAAACACGTTGGAACTCGACATATTTGATGTTGAGTGTTGCTATAGTGTACAAGGATGTTTTCAAATGTTTAAAGCAACGAGAAACACAATATAGAAGTTTACCTACAGATAGAGATTGGGAGTTAGCTTCAAGTATTTGTGGAAAATTGCAACTCTTTTATAAGGTGACTTTGATGTTTTCGGGTACCAGGAATCCTACAGCTAATGTATTTTTCCCATCCATATGTGAGATAAGAATTGCATTAAGTAGGTGGAGTGAAGATCGAGATGAATTGATAAAAGCAATGGGGGAGAGGATGCTTGTTAAGTTTGATAAATACTGGTCAGTTATACATGGAGTTATGGGAGTTGCAGTTGTATTAGATCCAAGATACAAGTTCAAAATGATGGAGTATGCTTTCCCGAAGATTTATGGTTTTGAAAAGTCTGATGTTGAAATTGTAAAACTAAAGGAGCTTGTGTCTCGTTTGTTTCAAGATTATGAAACGTGTAGTTATGAAAGTTCACAGAATCGAGATGTTGATTCAAGTCGCAACACTAGTGACATGGAGGTGGAGGGGGGTTTTTCAACGACTATTTTACATTCATTGAAGAGAATAATTATACAGGTATCACTATATGAGTTCGTTTTATTTATCTTTTGATTTTTTTTATTTATCTTTTAAATGTATAAAATTATTACTGTAGGTATCACGTCGGAGCTTGATCATTATCTTCAAGAAAAAGTAAGGACACAAAATTCGGAGCTTGATATTTTGTCTTGGTGGAAAACAAATGGTTTCAAGTATCCAACATTACAAAAAATTGCCCGAGACATATTAGCAATTCCAATATCCACTGTTGCGTCTGAGTCTGCCTTTAGTACAAGTGGTAGATTGGTGAGTCCTCATCGGAGTCGTCTTCATCCAAAGACGTTGGAAGCGCTAATGTGTGCCCAAAGTTGGTTAATAAACGAAATAAGAGGTAATCAATCAATTCTTTTACTTATAAGTTTATTTTTTCAATTGTATTGTTGATATGATATGTTATATAAATTAATAAATACAGCAACTTGTTCACAAGAGTCCGAAGCATATTGTAAAAGCATCGAATATGACCGTGATGATACTGACGAGGTACTAAATTGATATACAAGTTATACGTGATATCATTAACTTTTTTATATAAATTTTGGTGGCTTATAATTTTTTTTTTGTGTAATTGTAGCAATTGGGGGTCACAATTGTTTGATGACGGTGGTGGTGTCGTTGACGTGACTTGGAAGTTGGAACTTTGGAAGAATGATTTCGTTTATGAAAGTTGAAACATTATATTATTAGTCGTTGTCATTATATTTGTCTATTTGAATTGTTTTGTTTTTATATTTTGGATGCATTTGGTGGTGTTTGGCGTTTCAAGTAAATTTAGATCCGACAATGACATTATTTTTTAAATAACTCGTCATCGTGTGAAATTTAAACGGTAACGGGGACCCCAGCGGTGAAAAATAACCATATAAGGTAAACGGTTATTTAAACGGGTATTTTTCACCGCGGTTATCCCCGCGATGAAAATTACCCGTTTAAATAACCGTTTATGCTAAACGGGGATACCCGTTTCCCCGCGGTTTTCCCCGATTACCCGATGAGGATCCCCGTTTAAATCCCCGCGGTTTTTTAAGCGGGGACGGGTACGGGTTTTTTAAGCGGGGACGGGTACGGGTTTTTTAAACGGGGACGGGGACGGGGGGACCAATACCCGGCCCGAACCCGGCCCGTTGCCATCCCTAATACTCACTCATCACTGTATTACTTGAGCGATTGTGTATACTTGCACATTATTTGCGTATAATTTTATAGTACTCACAACACGCGAACACCAAGTAACACACTCATAAAACGTTGATACACTTAGTGGGTCATTAGAAATGCAAGATAGCTTAAGAGTTTAAATTGAGCATGTTAAGTAGATTTTCATGGCAAGTTGCACGATTTAGAGTTATGATGTGTTTTAAAGCCTTATTTATTACCCCCCATGATCATATAAAACATTAACAAGAATTGGGAAAGCTTTAGCTAGTAAAATTAGTGAGATTAAAGGCAAATTTTATTCCCAAATAGGGTATTTTTAATAGTGGGTATTGATGCTGTAAGAAGTAGTATCGATATTGTTAATATTAAAGGCATAATTCGAGAGTTTTTAAAGAACAATATCGATACCCTATGCAAGAGTATCGATACTGAGGGTTTGGTATCGAGAACAAGGGGCTTATTATCGAAACCGATAATTTAGAATACCAGTTTGGTATCGGTACTATAAGGAGTATCCATATTCAGGGTCCAAGTATCGATACTACCACGAGTATTGATACTTCCCCTTTTCTTCCAAGGCATTTCAACAATGTTGTATCGATGCCTTGGGTAGGGTATCGATACTGATTAAAGTGTATTAATATTTTAATGCCATTATCAATACTAAGGTTATGTTTTGGGATTTAAATCAAGAAAAATTGTAAAGGCAAGTGAGGTTTCTCAACATCTTATAACTATTCCCAAATAAGACTACAAACGATAATATTAATAATGCTTAATAAAACGTAGAAATCAGATAAAGTATAGTGACATAAAACTAGCCATGTTTGAATGCTCGTGAAACGATTAAGACACCTGAGTTCCTTTAGAAAAGTTAGAGGTGGCGATGTATAGATGCAGTCTGGATATCCTTAGGTAGTGTGCAAGGCACTTTAAACTAACTAATTATGCCAAGAGGTTTGACACCCGTGAGGGGTGGGTTAGCCGAGGGTGTTGTGTCCGATGCAGAGATTTTGAGCACTATCTTCGTTAGACTAGAGGGGTACGTGAGCTTTGATATATAGAAATCCCTCAGTCAAACCATGATGTCTACCCTAGAGTAGAGAGTGAGTATATGAGTATACTCATTGATGTATCAGATTTGGACAGCTTGATGTTTTTCCCTGATACACTATGAGTGTGATCTAGTTGTTAGCGTGTCCCTAAGCTAGTTAGCTCAATGTTTGGAATTTGTTTCCTTACACAGATTAGGTAGAGAAGTTGAGGAGTTTTAGCGACAGAGGTCCAGACCAAGAGAAGATCAGAGTACATCTCATGTTTTGAAGGGCATGTATAATTATAAACCATGTTGTTAAGTTGAGTCATAAATTTATTTAACAATTGGCCTGTATTTTTTTAAAGCAAATGTTTTAATTTATGAGCTCCCCCTATGTAAAGTTTACATTATATTTTTATTATTGATTTTATTATGAGAATGATCATTTTAAAGTAAGAAAAATGTTGGTCAACCATACCGGTAGTTCCGTGTAATATTCTAAATGGTCAATTGTATGTCATATTGATTTACAGTGTTACAATATTTCTTCCTCTCTTGGAGGAACTCTCTTGTGAATATGTTTTCTTACAACTCACTCTCTCTTGTTTTTCACTTGCTATATGCTAGCCTTCCCAAAACCTCTTATTTTTAGTATAGTAATGTGGTAACCAAAAGACTCATTTGTTTCTATAGATCAATCCACCATAAAATGATGAATGTTAATTTTCATGAATGTGGGTGATTATTATCCAAAGACAATTGATACATCTCCCTTGATTAATGATGGTACATCTCCCTTGATATATTAATGAATGATCTACCCAACAAATATCCCCCTTCCTGACTTAATTGGAGGGAACAAACAAACTCAATCTTTGACAACAATCTTCGAATTTCTTGGTCAAAATCACCTTTGTCATCATATCATCCCAATTATAATTAGTGTTAACTTTATCTAGTTCAAGTTTTTTTTCTTTCAACACATCTCGTATCCAATAATAACGAACATCAATGTGTTTTGTCTTATAGTGATATGCTAAATTTTTGGCTAAATAAATAGCGATTTGATTATTATATGGATATACTTCTTTTGCTTGTGACTCAATTCTTGCAGAAAATTTTTTGTTCATAACATTTCTTTTCAAGCTTCAGTCGATGCGACATACTCTACTTCTATTGTTGATAATGCCACACATTTTTGGAGCATTGATTGCCAAGAAATAGCTCACCTGAAAAAGAAGTCACATATCCAAATGTAGAATTTCTCAAATCGGTATCTTCATCCATATATGCATCTGTATATCCTATCAAATCTGTCTTCCCTTTTCCAAAACAAGGACATCTATTTGATGTGGCACAAAGGTATCAAAAATCTATTTTATAGCCTCCTAGTTTACTTTGCTTGGATTGGATAGGAATCGACTCACCATTCCTAGAGCATGGGCTATGTCGGGTCTTGTACAAATCATGTCATACATTAGACTTCCAACTGCACATGAATATGAGGCATCTTTAATTTCTTCTTTCTCTTTCTCACTTGTGGGACTTTGTTTTTTTTGCTTAACTTGAAATGTCCAGCAAGTGGTACACTAACTGACTTTGACTTGTACATGTTGAATCTTTGAAGAATTTCTCAATGTACTGTTCTTGGGATAACCATAACAACTTCTTAGACCGATCTCTAATGATATTAATTTCAAGGATTTGTTTCGCTGAGCTTAAATCCTTCATGGAAAACTAATTACTCAAAGCCTTCCTAAGTGCATCAATTTTCTTCTTGTATTGCCCAATAATTAACATATCATCAACATAAATCAATAATATGATGAAATCTCCACTATCATATCTTTTCACAAACACAGAATGATCAGTTTGGGTCTTCTTAAATTGATGTTGGGTCATAAAGGAATCAAACTTCTTGTAACATTGTCACAGTGTCTATTTTAGATCGTAAAGGCTCTTTTTGAGTCGATATGCTAAGTTTTCTTTTCCTGGCATGCTAAGTCACTATGGATAAATGTTGTTTTCACATTAATTTACTCGACTTCCAAATCTAGACTAACAGCCAGACTAAGTACAACTCGGATTGATGACATCTTAACCACATGTAAGAAGATTTCCTCAAAATCAATTATGTCCTTCTAAATGCAACCTTTGACAACAATTATAGCCTTATGCCTTGTCTTCTTGTTGTCCTCATAGGTTTTGTGTTTGTATACCCATTTGTTATTCAAAGCACACATTTATTTGGGTAACTCCACAAGATCATAAGTATGATTTTCATGCAAAGATTGCATTTATTCTTACATGGCTTTCAACCATTCCTTTTTATGGTAATCTTCCATTGCTTCATCAAAACTCTGAGTCTTCCCCTCATTTATGATTGTCATATACTCACTTAGAGAATACTTATTTGAGGGTCTCCTTTCACGTACTGATCTCCTAAATTCTAGTTAAGGTGTAACATCTGGGTCAGTTGTCTCGATATATTGGTCATCATTTATTTATATGGATGAATCCTTGGTCGATGACTCATTATTTCCATCTTGATTTTCAATACTTTGTTCTTCAATAGTTTCATATCTTATTATTGGTACTGATCTTGAACAATTCGAGTAATGACCTTAAACATAGGTCTCTCGGATTGCTTGGTGTCTTCGATGGTTTGATCCTAAAAAATACAACATCTTAACTTCTAACAATCAGTTTGTTTATCAGATCCCATAATTGATAACCAAATTCATCTTGAGGTGTGCCAAGGTAGATGCATTAATTTGTCTTTGCATCAAGTTTGGAAAGTTCGTCCTTAAGAATATGGACAAAGGCACGACAACCAAACACATTGAAATTTTCATATGAAATCTTCTTTCTTGTCCATACTTGTTCTGGGATTTCTCTATCCAAAGAACTAGAAGAAAAATGATTGATAACCATGGTGACAGTTTTAACTACTTCTCCCCATAATGATTTCGTCAATTTATTATTTGAAAGCATACTCTGAACTCTTTCTTCAATTGTTCGGCTCATTCTCTCAGCAACAACATTTAATAGAGGTGTTTTAGGTGGAGTCTTTTTGAGCCTGATGCCATAAGACTTACAATATTCTTCAAAAAGGCCTTTATACTCTCCTCCATTGTTTGCTCTTATACATTTTAACTTTCTTCCAGTCTGACGTTCCACCTTGGCATGAAACTCCTTGAATTTCTCAAGAACTTGGTTTTTTGTTTTCAACAATTATACCCAAACTTTTCTTGAATGGTCATGAATAAAAGTGACAAAGTAAAAAGCACAGCCCATTGATTTTTCATTCATTGAACAAACATATATGTGCACCAAATCAATAATATATTTTCTTTTATATGGTTGATTGGTTCGATAAAATGAAACTTTGTGTTGCTTGCCAGCTAATAAATTAATGCATGGTTGAACTAGTTTACCTTTCACCTCAGGTAGAAGCTTTTTTCGAGCAAGGATTTGCAATCCCTTCCCACTGATGTGCCCCAACCTTTTGTGCCATAACTTCAAGCATAAGTTACCATAAACTACATTTGCTTCTCCCTTGCATAACTTTCCTTGTGTGATATACAAGGAACCTTTCTTGTTTCCTCTAGCAATGATCATGTTGTTTCTGGTGAGTTTCCACTTTCCCCACCGAAAAGATTCATATAACCAGCTTCATCTACATTGTCAACTGAAATGAGATTGAGATGCATTCTGGTACATGTCTAACATCATTCAATACAATTTTATAATTTTTATTGGTTTTTAAAATGACATTACAAATACCCACGATCGTACTTATTTCCTGACTTCCCATATTCAAAGTACCAAAATCGCCGATTTGGTATGGTGAGAAAAATTCACCATGTGGAGTTACATGAAATGATGCTCTTTAGTCAAAAATCCATGAGTAATCATCTTGAGAAATGTTGAGATATTTATCTCCTCCAAACAGAAAATTTTCATCTTCTTCCTTTGTTGCAATAGCAGTTGTATTATTTTCTTCATTTTTCTTTGGATCAATTTGATCACACTAGATTGTTCCATTCTTCTGACCTCTTTTGATATTTTGGCACTCCGACTTTTTGTGATTTGGTTTGCCACAATAGTAACAGATCACTTTGTATCACGATTTAGATTGCCCTCGTGACTTTTTATAACCTCGAGTCTTGTTTTTTCATCGGTTCTCATTTGTTCCTTGATTATCATTTCTTCCTCGATTCTCCACCACATTGGCTTTTTTTTGGTTAGGCAAGCCTCGTTCCTTCCTCCTAGCTTCTTCATTCATCAAACTGTTTGAAACAGTGTCTGTGATGAGTTTTCCTTCTGGAGTCGAGTTACTCAAAGTAACAACGAGAGTGTCCTAACTCTCTTGTAAATAGTTTAGTAATAACAAAGCTTGTAACTCATCATCAATCTTCATTTCTATCTTGAATAGTTGATTCACAAGCCCCTTGAACGTGTTTAGATGTTCAATCATGCTTTGGCCATCTTTGTACTCAAATTTGACCAAGCGTCTTATAAGATGTACTTTGTTTCGAGGTGTCTTCTTTTGGATCATGGACTTCAGTTTACTCCATAATTCATAAGCATTGATGCATGTTGACACATGTTCAAATAAGCTTCTATCGATATGTTTATAAATCATAGAGATCACCTTTTGTTTAAAAGTTCTCATTCTTTCTCATTCTTCCTTTCGGGCATTGTCTAAATTGTAATTGGGTCTTACAGATCTTTACAATAAGGATGATCTTCCATCATTGACTTCCAATATGAGAAATTGTCTGTCGTGAGTTTGAACATACCACCATCATGTGTAGCACTCCCCTCTATCTTAATAATACAAGATATATGATGGCTATTACATCCTGGCTCTGATTCCATTGTTGGGAAAATACGGTTATATATGAGAATACCTCTTTCTCTCTTTGTGTGATTAAGATGGGCACAAATATAAAAACAACAAAAACACACAGTATTTTGGTGACACATAAAACCCAAATCGAGAAAAACCACGATACGCTAATCCAGTGCAAATTTGCCTTCCACTATTATATAAGTAGGGATACAAAATGCCTCACCTAATAAGGATGGTTTACAAAAATACTAACTCAAAGGTGGTTCACTCTATCTTTCTTTTTCTCTTGGAGGAACTCTCTTATGAATGTGTTTTCTTACAACTCACTCTATCTTGTTTTTCACTTGCTATATGTTAGCCTTCATAAAACCTCTTATTCATAGTAGAGTAATGGGGTAACCAAAAGACTCATTTGTTGCTTTTAGATCAATTCACCATAAATGGATGAATGTTAGTTTTCATGAATGTGGATGATTCTTCTCCCCAAGACAAGTGATACATCTACCTTGATCAATTAAGGAATGATCCACCCAACATAAATGATAATTTGATCATTTTGATTCACAATGTTTTGATATTCGCCCGTATTTGATTAGATAAGGCACATTAATTTAAACATTTTGATTCAATATATAATTATATATATAATTTATAAAAAAATAATTTGTAAACTTAATAATTTATTTCAATTTCAATTTAGATTTTGAATTTGAATTTATTTTATTCAGATTAGTTCTTGAACAATATATCTTTTCATTTTTAACATTTTAATAATGTGAAACTATAAAATCGGTTAATGTGTACAACATCGGATTTAGATCGTGGATGCAAACGTGTTTCTGGTTGTGTTGTATTTATTTCAATTACGGATATAACATGTATTAATGCATTTATAATGGTATTGCGCTCGTAATTTTTTTAAAAGCTTTGATTTTCTTTAAAAATAGCTATTTTTTAAAAAAATAGTGAAACAATAGCGAAAATAGCGTCACGTTATTACCTCAATTGACTGCTACATGTTAAACTATGACTACAATTTACCACTATTGATGTGATTTTACTTCACACATTTATTTTCACGATAATAATTTTGGACCTTGGTTTTTAAGGGCGCAAGGCAAATCGAGGCACAAGAGGTCCCTGGAGCCTAGGCGTAAGGTGCAGGCGTGTGCATTTCGTATATGAGGGTCACCGTTTGTACTATATGATATAAATCAAAGCAATACTTTGACAACACACTAATACTTTGAAGTGCAAACACAACTACTCAAACTTGAATTTCTTAGAAAGAATAACATTTTTTACCACTGAATCACCTAATGGTTCAATCCAAATTTTACTTATAATTATAGTTTAAGGAGTAAATAGATATTTTTTTTGTTAATATGTCACATCATCAATTTAATTGGATTAGTGGAAGAGTGACTATTTTGTAATTTATTAATAATTATAATGATTGTAGTGTAATTTTTAAAACCGTTAATGATCAAAATGAACACCTATTAAAATATTAGTGACCGTAAGTATAGTTAATTCTTAAAAGTCAGCATAAATGAAGTGGTAAACCCTATCCAGTGATTACCAGCCACCACCAAAGGATTCAATCAAATTTAAAACAGAGCTTTCTCTTATTTGTTCTTTAAAGGATGGTTGTAAATGAGACGAGACATATTGCGAGTTATTCGAGATCGACTCGGTTAAGGCTCGATAAATACTCAGATCGAATGAACTTGATTCGAGCTCAACTCGAATTCTTAATGAGCCGAAACGAGCTGCTTGATACTCGAAACGAAAAGCTCATGAGCAGCCCAAAAATATAATATATTAAGATTTTATTTTTTTTAAAAATAAATTATTAATAATATTAACATTTATGTGTTGATTTTAAAAAAAAATATAGTAAACCTTTTATGTATTTAAGGTTCAGATTTGAATTTGAGTTTGAGGCTTCAATCTAGTTAAGTTTAATAAAAAAAAATTCATTTCGAGCCTTTTCGAGCTACTCACGAGCTTCAGTTCAGGATTTCGAGTTTGAGTCGACCTTACAAATTTTAAGCTCGTGAGTTTTCGAGTTGAGTCGAGCTTCATTTCAGAGTTTTCGAGTGGAGTCGAGCTTAGCAATATTCAAGCTCGACTCGCTCGTTTACACCCTTACTTTAAAGCAACTGCTTCTCTTTTAATGATGTTAGCTTAAAGTTAGATACATGCACCAGACAATATAGAGTGCGAGCTGATTCCTAGTCTGATGCAATGCATTTAATCTTGATGTTAAATGCAACACATCTACACATGCGTTACTGCATTATAGCTGTTCGTCTGATCATTCTTGAGTGTAAAGAATTCGTTTGATTGTGTTGTTTTCATATTGTTTTCTTGTTCTCTGATATGCATTTTTCTTGATTTATTTGATCTTTCTCTACTGTTGTTTTTCTCTCTTGAGATATTTCAATACCTCTAACTTCATTTCTTTACACTCTATCCACCCCTCCTCCCGCATAACTCTTTCCCTATCTTCCTTTCCTTTGCTTTTGTGGTGATCCCTCCTTCCATCCCTTTTCTCACCAAACTAGGTAACATTGATTTTAATAGCAGAAGATTTAAGGCATTGCGTCTATCGCCCGACGTCTAAAGCCCATAGGTTCACGTCTCACAGCATTCTGTAAAATGTCTCGCTCTGACCAAAGCGGGTATTCTCTTCATCGCCTCTTTACGCCTCGCACCTAGGCGCGCCTTTAGAAACCTACTTTTTTGACACTATTACCCCTGCTATTTAGCAACCGTTGTTCTATTATCGGGCTGCTATTTGAATTTACGCTCATAATTATGCCTTCCATAAAAAATCTCATAATACCCAAATTATCAAAATATAAAAAAATTAAAAATATTATAGACACAGGGACTAAAGTGAGAGAAATTGTAGAGTTCAGGCGACTAAAAGTTATTTTGCCCTTTATTAAAACAGTAGAGGTTTGAGACAAAAGCCCTTGGGACGGACAGAGGGTCGGCGTCCGTCGTTTGCTCAGATCCTCATTTTGCCAACTAACACACACCAACAAACAAAACAACTACTAACCTAAACACATTAACTCCCGGGACAAACAACGCAAGTACAGCACAAACAAAGCACTCCCAACTCTTTTTAACACAACCCACCACCACCATCACCAGTAGCCACCGGCCACCAATGTCGATCGCCGCCTGTCTTTTCACCCCTTCTCCATCTTTCTCTCCTCTCCCTAAGGTCATCCCTAAATTCACTTCATCTTCCCATTTCCGCCTCCACCTAAGCCTTCCCTCCTCCTCCACCACCAGTCTCCGCCACCGCCAACCTTCGCCGTTCTTAACCTTCTCTACCCTTCCCGGAGGCGATGGTGGCGACATCAAACACAACAACAACAACAACTCGGGTGGTGGCGGAGGAAACAATGACGATGGAAAAGGCAAGGGTAGTGGTGATGAGAACGCTGGCGATAAGAACAAGAGAGAGGCTATGATTGTGCTGGCCGAGGCAGGTAGGTCGATGGAGAGCTTACCCAAGGACTTGGCGGCGGCGATTCAAGCTGGGAGGATTCCCGGGTCGGTTGTAGAGAGGTTCTTGGGGCTCGACAAGTCTGGGTTTATGCAGTGGTTGATGCAGTTCGGTGGGTTCAAAGAAAGGCTTTTGGCCGATGATCTCTTCTTAGCTAAAGTTGCCATGGAATGTGGTGTTGGGATCTTCACGAAGGTATTGTTTTATGTGATGAATTTTGACTCTTTTATTCTCCATCCTGGATGGCTCATATAATTTTGTTGATTCAATCTTAACAACTATTATACTTATGTTTATTTCGTATTTTCTAGACCGCTGCAGAATATGAACGTCGAAGAGAAAACTTCTTCAAGGAGCTCGAAATCGTTTTTGCAGATGTGGTATGCTTGTTTTCACCTCAACCAACACCATTTTAGCTTAGATCTTTTGGCCTAAATAGAAAATATGATTTGATTGATAGATTCAAGGAATAAATTTGAGGATATATAAACATCCATTTAACACTCTGTTTTCTGTAAAAGATAAGCAGTTTACTGCCGTGTCATTGTTAGATAATTAAGTCGATATCATGCATTGGTAAATACATCACATAGATTTCCAGCATCAGCAGGAAGGAATGAGCACTATTTTTTAATTTTAAAACCAAAAATCTTCTCATCATAAGGATGATTAGATGAAATACTGAGTTCACAGCTGAAACATTATATATAGTTTTTTGTTAACAAGAAAAAAGATAGAAGAGGATACCACCAACAAATCGTGGAAGCCTGATTTGGTTCTAGTATGGGGATTCTATGATCTTGCGAACCAATGCCGGAAATGGCCTTAAATTGTAGAGCTTGTAGACCTTGAGCTTGCTGCAGAATCTTTTGGCCGACCATCAAGTTGGTCGAGCCGTAGATTCCCCCTGAACCCATTGATGGCATCGTGTTTAAGAAGTTGGCAGTTCAAGGTTTAATGAGAACGAACGAGTCTCTTTCTCACCTGCAACCAGAATGTGCCTTCTTCACACATGCATGTCCTCCTAGCAATCTAACCACGCATTAATGACATCCTAACATGAAAACAAACCTTTTATGTTTTTTCATGCTCCTCTACCAGGCTAAAGAAAATCATATGAAACAGTAAAGATGCAGTTTCGTTGAATGATGAAGGTGAAACTAGTAAGACTGAATTATAATTAAGGTTCTTTGGAAAATTTGTACTATTTTTAACTTAATAAATTGTGTCTGTATAATGTATATTTTCCCTGATCCTGAGAAATTCACTAGCTCTGTAATGTGTAGATGATTATGAATTACATGTCCAACTCAGTTATTTCCATAAATTGAAATTCCACATTTGTTTTTCTAGGTAATGGCCATAATTGCAGATTTCATGCTTGTTTATCTTCCTGCTCCTACGGTCTCTCTCCGACCTCCTCTTGCAGTCAGTGCTGGGGCTATTTCCAAGTTCTTCTATAGATGCCCTGATAATGCTTTCCAGGTTATCATCATCATCATCTTTGGCAATGAAGTTGCATGGAGAGAATGTTCTGTTTGACAGTCAATGAAATTTTGTCTGCAGGTTGCTCTCCCTGGGACTTCGTATTCGCTTTTGCAGAGATTAAGTGCCGTAATGGTAAGGAGATCTTTTGTATCTTGCAAACTTTTAAAGATCAAAATATCTGAACATCTGAGATATAAACAATGGACCATTTTTTTCATGTTTTAATTGTATGTGCTTTGCAGCGAAACGGGGCAAAGCTTTTTGCAGTAGGCACAACTTCTTCGCTGGTAAGGGTTTATTATTTCAATTTGCTGAGAAAATTGTTTGCAATTCAATTTCTATAAAGAAAATCATTTCTTCTTTTGCAATTTGATTTAATGGAGTTCCCTTTTTTTTTTTTCTTCACAGGTTGGCACAGTGGTTACAAATGCCTTGATTAATGCCAGAAGGGCTGTCGACAAGTCATCCGCTGCTGAAGTTGAAAATGTTCCCATACTATCCACCAGTGTTGCCTACGGTGTTTACATGGCAGTTTCTAGCAACCTCAGGTGTGTAATTGCGTAATGTTCATGGAAATGCTTTTCTCGTTTTACCATTATTATTTATGAGCTACACGAAAGGAAGGTTGCTCTGTCATCCCATAATCCCTAAGCTCTCCATCTAAGATTTAACATTGTAGAGCTTTAAGTCGGAATCTCAATTCCCTAACCACTGGGGTGTCCTCTAGTACCTAATGTTGAACGACTTGTTTATTTTATAAAACCATTTACATGTATCATCAAAGTCGAAAGTTTTGTTGGAGCATTAGCTATTGCTAACAGGTACCAGACATGTAATTATATCCAGTACTCACACTCGACTCCAAGTAACATAGAATTTAGCTATCATATGAGAGGTTTTTTTGCCCATGAAACCGAAATGTCTTGAAACACCGATTGTATGATGTATAAATGATAGGAATTAATTTTTTTTTAATTTTTTGCTGAGGGTTTGTGTTTTGTTCCGATAGGTACCAAGTGCTGGCTGGTGTAATTGAACAGCGTATTTTGGAGCCTTTGCTACACCAGCACAAGATCATGTTGAGTGCAATATGCTTTGCCGTTCGAACGGGCAACACGTACTTAGGTTCCCTATTGTAAGATCCGATATCAATCTTCGAAACTACCGTACTCACTAGGATAGTCGTTTTGTTGCCAACAGCCCCTCAAATCTCACGATTTCGAATTCTTTTCGTAGGTGGGTGGATTATGCTCGTTTGGTCGGCATTCAAAAGGCTCACGAAGAAGAAAACACCGCATTGGAGTGAATAATGTCGGCTTCTTAAACTCGGCCATCACAGTTCCATGGAAGCAGCTTCGCAGGTCTCGTAGTTCAGGGATGCGAAAGCATGGTTAAGCCGACATATCATTGCTTTTGAGTCCTCTTTTGCTTATCATTGCAGTTAGAGTAATATAATTTTTAGGCTTAATATACTTTTAGGTGCCTAAACTATACCTTAAATTGATTTTTGGTGCCTAAATAATTTTTTATTAAAAATAGGTACCTAAGGTTTCCAATATTACACTTTTAAGTGCATGGACCGTAATATTCGTTAAATTTGACCGTTATCTAAAACGTGTCATGCATATAAAAAATATTTTAAAAAATTATTTTAAAAAAAATAATATTATAATTTAAAAAAACTGGAAAAAAAACCACACAAAATTCCACCATTGATCGACCATTGTTAGTTTGTGGCAGTCACTGTTTATACTATCAGAATCGTCTTGCCACTACAACCAAAATCTAATCTTCTATCCATTATGAAATTGCGTCGATCGTTGTGAAAAGTGTTGTGAATGGTCGTCGGTTTTCTAAATTTTCCTTCATTATTTTTTGACGATTCTGATGGCTACAATTGAATGTACATTACATGATTGTCATCATTGAGTTCATCGCCTTGCTCCAAACAAAACTCAGCTAGTGGTGATCTTTCGTCATCGTCGGAGATAATGTTAGGCACTAAGTCAATTTAAGTATAGTTTAGACACCTAACATGTATCTTTCATAAATATTTTTTTTAAAATTTTATATGCATGACATGTATCAGATAATAATCAAATTTAACAACTGTTATGGTACAAACACTTAAAAGTGTAAAATTAGAAATGTTAAACACCTATTTTTAATAAAAATTTCTTTAAGTACTAAAAATTAATTTAAGATATAATTTAGACACCTAAAAATATATTAAGCCTAATTTTTAATACCATTTTAACTCGACTATCTGTGTTGTGTATTTTTTTGTCGTATCACAATTTTGCTTTTGGGTTTTTGTTTTTTTTGTTATTTTGGTCTAACTTCAATAGTGTTATAGCTTTAGGCTTAATATTTTATTCATGTCGTGTTCGTGTTATATTTCATCTCGTGTCATATTCATATCAAATGCTTGAAAATTAATGATGTGACAATTTATAATATTTGTTTTCTTTTAGGATTTAACTAATTAACAACGGCTAACTTAAATGTTTTTATCCATAGCAAGCGTTTAAGTTGAATGAGTCATATAACTAGTTAATGTATTATTAAAAAACAGTTTGTAATCGAGAAACTTAGTCAGAGCCTAATATTTTTTAGAATAAATTGAATAATATTTTAGAAATTTAAAATATTATATTTTTCATAGTAAATTATGTAAATTACATAACTAATTTGTTTATAATTTAAAAAGTTATCATCAAGACATTCTTGATTATAATTAAAATTATTATTAATTACATAACTTTTTAAAATAAACATATAATATTTTAAGTTAAAACGTGTCTCAAAATAATTTTTCAATTGAAACTAAAATTATTAACGATTGATAATTTTTTAGGTTAAATGGGGTTTAGGGTTTTTCAATTTAATTGATACTTTTTAAATTATTTTAGTACTTTTGTTAATTATTTAAAAAACATAAGGGATATTTAAAAATATTTAATTTACATGTTTAAATTAAATTGACAAGTCATTTATTTAATTCTTTATAATATATTTTAAATTTATGTTTTTCAAGATATTTATATATAAAAATACTAATAATAAATTATCATAATATATATATATATATATATATATATATATATATATATATATACTTTTATTATAATTTATAGAGTAAACTACGCATTTAGTACTTGAACTTTCAATTTTTACAAAATCATACCCAAAGTTTAGTTTTTATTTCATTTTAGTACCAATAGTTAACTTTTTGTTTCATTTTAGTATCTCGCTGTTAACTTTTTGTTTCGTTTTAGTACATAAATTTTTAACGGTGTGTTACTAAAATGAAAAAAAAAGAGTAGAATTTAGGTAAAATATACTAATACTCATTAAGAAAACTTGTTACTCATTAAACTCGTTGCTCATTAAGTTCGTTGCTCATTAAGCTCGTTACTCGTTAAGCTCGATGCTCATTACTCGTCTCGTTATCCGTTAAGCTCACCGAAAATTTTATCTTATTTTCTTAACTATAGGTAAAATCTACTAATACTATATAGAACTTAATATAAACATAAATTAATAAATTTAACAAAAAAAATATCAAAATAGTGTATGAAGTAATTTTAAGGTCTAAACTCCAAAGCAACAATCAACAAATACATTAAAATAATTTTGAGTGTATGAAATAATTGTTTAAGATAACTACAAAAAAATTATATAAAAAAATTAACGAACTGCTTACGAACTTTTCGAGTCAAGTTAGACTTTGCTCAACCCAACTCATTAAGGTCTCAAGTCGAGTCAACCCAAGTTGAGTTTTTATTGAGCTTTAACCGAGTCGAGTTGAGCAACTCACGAGATGCTCAACTCATTAAACACCCTCTATGTACGATCGTTAGATGAGTGAAAATAAATAACTTCGATTAATAACAGAAAATAAAAAGATATACAATAAAAAAGTAATGGGTTAACCTCATTTATTTATTTCCATTCATTCAACCTTCTTAAATCTATATAATATAAAAAAATTAAAATTGAAACCCGAACCAATGAAACTGAAATCATTTTGGTTGGGGTTTGAACCCATTGCATCATGCTCCTGTCCTACATTGACCCAGAATTTGGGGACGAAACGGTAACAAAGAGCAAGTTTTTCTTTTGAAACTCTCCAGGATTAATTTTTTTTAAATATTTATTTGATATTTAATCTAAAATTTTATTTATATTCATCGTATAAAAGTTTTATGCGGTTAAAATATTGAAGGGTATCAAAGCTGACTGCTTATATTTAACATGCAAGAACCCATGAGTAGGGATCGAAAAAAAATCTGAATCCGATTGGAAAAATTGAAAATTGAATTAAACGGGATGGGGAAAAACCATTTATGTTAAACGGGGACGGGGACGGGGAAAAATCGTTTATGTTAAACGGGGATGGGGACGGGGACAGGTTTAGTAATCCCCGCCCCGATTACCCGATTTCCCGGCTCGATACCCGACCCGATAAATATTAAAAATAATTATTATTATTATATATATATATATATAATATTAATAAATTTAAATTAAATTAAAAATATATATAATATTTATATATTTAATTTAAATATATATAACTGGCCCGATACCCGTTTAAATAATCGTTTATACTAAACGGGGATACCCGTTTCCCTGCGGTTTTCTCCGATTACCCGATGGGGATGCCCGTTTAAATCCCTACGATTTTTTAAACGAAAATGATTACGAATTTTTTAAACGGAGACGGAGAAACCAATACCCGAACCCGACCCGTTCTACCCATGAGCATTTTGGCTCTTAATCTCCCACAGTGTTGACCACATAAAGAGTGGGAAAAATCTGGGTACACTTGGACAAGCATGGCCACTTGAAGTTCAAAATGACGAAACTGACCAAAAACAAAGCACTCCACTTGCCCCCGACAATTACACAATTAGACAAGACCAATGAACTTATCATTTTTGGCTGTAAACGAGTGAAAACAACTGTATCTCTTTTCTCCACCAACTTTCTTCTCCGTTCGGTTCATCTTGGCTCTTTGTTACTGAATTTAATCGGAAGCAAAGTTAACATGTTCATTCAATAAGGTTATGATAAATACTCCAGTTCATACAGATCTGCCTTTTCATGCAGCAAAAAAAAATTCTCAGAAATTCTGGTGAGTTCACTCGTTTCCTTTTGAGTACCAATGAAACCCAGATTTCGTAATCGTCCTTTCATAGATTTAGCTAAATTGGTAGCTGTTTTGGGTCTTCTTCTTTTGATTTTCTAACACACTCTTGTATAATTCCACGTGCAAAGTCTCACCCGATGTTATGTCGCCGGTCAAGGTGAAACTGTCGAACAAGACGACCGAATTACCTGTGCATTATCCAACGAACATTAGCCACATTAAGTTCGTTCTTGTAGGCTGCACTAAAACATGGCCGGCGAGAAGACCATACACCGAAGCCTGGTGGAGACCGAACAAAACAAGGGGGAACATCTTCATGGACTCACCCCCACCTAAAGAGTTCCTCCCTTGGCCTGAAACGTCTCCGCCGTTTAGGCTCAATTCGGACGCCACGAAGCTGCCGGTGTACCCGAAGCTGGTGAACCCTATCGAGGCTCGAATTTTCCGATCCGTTCTCGACTCGTTTAACCTGGGAGATAACCAGGGGGTGAGGTGGTTCGTAATGGCCGACGATGACACTCTGTTTTTTGTGGACAATTTAGTGGAAGTGTTGGGAAAATATGACCACACCAAGCACTATTACGTCGGGATGTATTCGGAGTCTGTGATTTCGAACTTCCTCTTCGCCTTCGATATGGCGTACGGTGGCGCTGGATATGCTCTGAGCTATTCACTGGTGGAACAACTGGCGCCATTGATGAATGATTGCCTCGAAAGATACCCCTTTAGTCATACCAGTGACTCTTTGACATCATCTTGCTTATTCGACTTGGGGATTTCTCTTACCCTTGAAAGGGGTGTCCATCAGGTAATTGCCTTCATACTTGGTACAGTTTTAACCTACCTTTTTCTTGAAATATCGAAAACTAGTAACAATATGATTGCCTCGAATCAAATTTATGAAGTTCGAGTATATGTAATCTCTTTCATTTTCCCTATAATAGCCTAACAAGGGGTTTAGGTGACCTGGTTGATTTAGGATTTGAATCCCAGCATTTGCTTCCTTTTTTTCTTGTTAATCTAATTTGGGTTGATCTCGATAGCTTCATGTTCGAATTTCAACACCTGTAACCCGTCGATTGTATAATACCCGAGTTCAGTTCAGTTGGATTCAACCCAATTGAATTAATAACAATTTGATTTTGTCAAATAGATTAGAGGTTCGAATTCTAACATCTCCAGTACTAAGATGACAATTTGATGATATCAGGCCTGGGTTTAGTTCAGTTCGGCCGAAACCAAACTGAATTGATAACAATTCGGTTGTCAAATGGCGGGTATGGTTCAATCAAGGTTCATAGAATGCCTGTGAGAGGTTAGAATTCAAACCTTAAGAGATTGTATTGAGTCCGAATTTAGTTCAATTGGGGTTCATACAATACCCTTAAGAGGTGATAGTAGATTTGTAGAATTGCAGCATCCGCAACTTCTCCGTTATCTTGAGAATACGACCAAACAAAAAGATTTCTTATTGTGATATTATAAACTGCAGGTTGATCTTCTCGGTGATATATCAGGTATGCTATCGGCTCATCCGCAGTCACCAATCATTACGCTTCACCATTTCGACAACATAGACCCAATATTCCCCAACAAGAACCGAACTGACGCGGTAAAACATCTCATGCAAGCCGCCAAAGTCGATGAATCACGTTTAGCACAGCAAACAATATGCTACGACAAGCAAAAGAACTGGTCCATCTCAGTCTCGTGGGGTTATTCGGTTCATATATATGAAAAGTATCATCCCTCGAAGTATTCTGAAGAGACCCCTGGAGACATTTCGTCCCTGGAAGAATGGTCATCCTCCATTGTATATGTTCAACACCAGGTTGGTCACAAACGATCCGTGTCAAGCTCCTCATGTATTCTTCATGGAGAACATTGGGAGAATGAAAGGGGATTCCTTAGTTGTCTCTACGTATAGGCGAACAGCTCGACGTAAATTACCACCTTGTTTCTTCTCCGGAAACCATACCGCCGATGATGTCCTCAGGATTCGCGTGTCTTCAAACGCATCGGTTCATAAGCAGGTTTGCATCGGACACAAGTAGTGAACAATCTCGGTAACATAAATTATCTTCAAAATTCGTTCTTATTAATCGATTTCTCTCTGCTTTTTTCAGCCCGGAAAAATCGAATGCTGCAATGTTATGAAAATGTCTGGCACGAGTGTTATGAACATCAAGTTAAGGGAGTGTAGGAAGGGTGAAGTAATTGCATAGTCGGGATGAACATTCAGATCAACAATGCAATGTAAAATCGTAAGAAACCTACATGTAATACGAATTATTGTTTTTTTTTTTTTGTAATAAATCAAGTATTCCATTAGAAGGAAAGTAGCCAAGCTACAACAGACCTCCAAAGAAGAGCCCCACTAAGGCGGCCCCCAATCAACACACAACCTCATTTTCACCTTATCTCCTTCGTCAAAACAAGTATTACTAAGCTTAATGCGAACTATATACTTCATGTTATCAACAATGATATCACTCGAACGGGCAATTCCCCTACACTGTCTGAAGTCACGTTCTTCCCAAACGCTTTTAATGTGAATAGTAAGCGAATCACCTCTCCAATGCTCAGCCGTCCATAACACAATCCGCTCTCAGCACACCTAGAGCCTACAAATCCTAATGATTCCCTGCAAACAAGTTATCTCTAAACTCCTCCACACAACCCACAGAGCTCATCCGATATGACACCAAACCCACAAGTCTATCCTTAGTAGGCAACCTATCCAAACAGGCCATCTAAACAATAATCGAGTGCTTAGAGATGTGAGAAGGGAATCAAATGAGTTTATGCCACCAACTTTATCCCTCCTATCACGAATTCTCTCCCACAATCATCTATTGTTGACAATCGACCAGTTCACAATACCATTGAAAAAGACCTCAGCATCATCCCTCAACCTCAACAATTTCCTCATGGCCCAACTAAATCAGGGCTTACAGCCAGCATGCCTGAAATCAGCCCCTTTTAAAATTACAATTTATTTTATTTTATTTTATTTTATTTTATCATTAAAATTATCTTGTTTCATCAATTCCCGAATATTTTTTAACGATTAATTGAATTCTGATATCTGCAATCTTATCGATGCTTCATAATTAAGTCGATAAACTTGTCAAATATAAGTTTTCATTGGTTACTCAAAATAATTATATAAAATCTGGGGTTTCTCAATCCTTCATGTGTACGTTCTTTGTTTTAAATTTTTACATTAGATGTACAATTTCGACTTTAAGTACTCGAACAACGACAAAATTAAGATATTGAAAACTTTGATGTTTTACTTAATTAAATGACTTGTTCTAGATAGGGGAAAGAGAATCACTCTAATATAATTATGAAATATTAGTCTAGGATGATTAGAAGTTAATATCCTTTTATAATATTTCTTAATCATTAACAATATGCATATAGCATAAGCAGTTGCTTGAACCCGAGTTCTTTAAGGAGAACAACAAATCCTTTTATCACTGAGGTCACTAAATGAATTCGGTATATATATTGTTAGAAAAGAGAACATTTTCCCTGTGTAATTTAAACATTTCCAAACTATATTTGACAGATTTTGACAGAAAAATTCCTCTTTTGGTCACATTAAAACATTCAAAGATACTCTTCTAGTCTTGGACTACAACTTTGGTTAATGTCATCAGCAGCAGGGTAAATACAATGCTCCTTCCTACAACCTGAGGGAATGATAAAATTGCTATCATAAATACTACTTACAGCTATTTCAGAGATGACCTTATATATCCTGAGGGCCATCGAATCGACTGCATCCTTCCGAGGTTCCAATGGAGGCCGTCGTGGATGCTGCGTAGAAAGTCATTAGTAGAATCAACTTGACATGCTGTAGGCACAGGCCAAGGTGCCATACTGCACAAAAGAGCATCCCGGCAGCAGTTTCCGGTCCTTCCCATCGAATGATGCCCAAGCCAGACTTCTGATATTGAACGGCACCATTATCCGGACAGTTACATGTTCCGGCAGTATCAGGGATCGAAACAATAACGAATGCGGACAAATAGGTGTGAACAAAAATCCAGGGACCTGCAATTGTTGAAGCATATATGGGGGTGCCGCAGTGTTATACTGAAGGGTCCCCTCAGGACTGAATCAAGGCATTCCTTGAAATGCTCACTATCTAGATCAAGTCAAAGAATTTTCCTTTTAGTTACGGTATACGAGTTAATAAGCATTTTTAACTAAAACCAAAGTGAATCATCAATTTGATCTCCTTTCATTAAACAAGTGCTTTGACAAGATTTAAGGATACCAAAAGAACCTAATGAAAATGGAACAGCGGGAGGACCAGGTCCCTTGAACATTGATGCGGCCTGCAAAGAAGAAATGAACTATCAGGCTTTGCTTGGTAGGGTCAAAAGAAAGTTGAAGGGATGAAATATTAGATGGGTAGAAGAATGAAAAGATGAAAAAAAAATTTACTTCCATTCATATGTTTTCTAGGAAGGGTGAAAAAAAAATTGATAGAAAATTTATTGATAAACTATGCATTTAGTACCTAAAGTTTCACTTTTTACAAAATCATACCTAAAGAGCTGACGTGACAATTTTAAATTATTTTCTTATTTTTAAATTATTATTTATATTATTTTCTAATTAATTTTATTCAATCGCCACCATATTAGAAATAGAACAAAAGGAAAATCTCCTAAAGGATGCCACTAGGAATCAAACCTGGGTTCCATTATGGGTAAACTAAATATGATTTATAATATTTTATTTATTTTTAAAATAATTTTTCATTTTAATATTTATTTATTTTAAAAAAATTAATTTAAATATTAAATAACTAAATACATATATAATTGTAAACTACTTATGATAGAATATGTTTTTAATATTTATTTATTTTTAAAATAATGTAAAACTTGTATTCTATTATAATAAATATCATAAATTTAATTTTTTTAAATAAATTAATATTAATATTATAAAATATATAAATACTTATATAATTATTTTTATTTTAAATTGAAAATGAGAAATTATTTAATTTTAATTTAATATTTTTATAAGTTAAATAATAATTTTAGTATGTATTATATCAATTCTTATATTGGATAAATGTTTGAATATTTTTGTGAGATGCTTTAAGTTCAAATAATAGATTTAATAAATTTCTTTTTTATAAGTTAAATACAAACATCAGCAAGGTAAAAACAATGATTGCCTAGCCTAACCTAGCCGGTTGGGCGCCTGTGTAACCCACAAGGGAACCCAGGTTTGATTATTGGTATTCTCCTTTTAGGAGATTTTCCCTTTGTTCTTTCTAATACATGTCACCCAAGGTCGTGGCAGGATTTTCGGGAGTCATGTACAAATTTGTATAAAGGGGTCTCTATTTTTTAGATGTATTTAATTTCGGGGTAATAATAGTAGCGTTTTCTTGACAAACGTCGCAATAAATCCATCTATAATAGCGTTTTATCAATAAAGCCACAATAATAATGACGTTTTTTTAAAAAAAAACGGCGTAATAGGTCCATCTATAGTGACATTTATTGGTAAAACGCCGCTATATATATATATATATTTTTTAGCCCCATTTTTTGGAAGGCCCTGCGCGGACGCGCAGTTTGCTCCCCCAGCCACGACCCTGATGTCACCCCGTTAAAATGTCACATTTTTAATAACGGGTACTGATTTTGTAAAAATTAAAAGTTCAGATACTAAAACGTATTAAAAGTAAAATTTTAGGTATTAAATGTGTAATTTACCCAAAATTTATTGCTTGTTAGAGTTGAACGAACGGTTGTTCTTCCTCTCCTGTAATCAATACTAGATTTGAAGTATTATTCTCTTGTACCATTAGGGGTGTTTGGTTCAAGGATTGTGTGGGATTCTTATGGGATGAGAATCTCACATTCCCATGTTTGGTTTTAATGTTTTATTACCAATAGTAGATTTTTTGGGTATATTACCGGGAATATCATTATCTCTCTTCCCTTAGGTATTGTAACATTATCAGCGTTTTGGACTAAAATGCCCTTAAAATTTTATTTTTTTTCAAAAATATCATTCGACTGTCATTGAATAATAAAAATTCTACGAATGTTAAATTACAAATTTATCCTTAAATTATTTTAGATTTACAAAAAAAATCTATAATTAAAATTTTATATGAAGCTCAGAAGTTAAAATTTTTTTTACCCTTTCATTAAACCTTTTTTATATTTTTAATTTTGTAAAAAAAAGTATATAAATATTATGAATTTAATTTTTTTTAAAAAATATATAAATATTTTACAATTTGTAATATTATACAAATATATAATAAGGACAATTTAGTCAAATATACATTCCAATAATCTTTTATTTCTTTAATCAAACCCGGTAATCTTACATTCCTGCTAAACCAACCAAACACAAAATACAACATTCCTAGTAATCCTATTACCTGGTAATCTTTTTTTCCTACTGATAATCTTATATTCTTGAACCAAACGTACTCTTAGTATTATATATATAACAAGTGATGAGATTTTTGCTCAGCCCAAACTTCGAAAGCAAAAGCCCAGATTTTTTGACTCAGTCTCAGCCCAAAAACCATTGCATCTTATTCTCTAAAAGTTGTTTTCTTTTTCCCGGAACAAAATCCAAATCATAAACCCAAGTTTTCCCACGAAATCTCTACACCCCTCCCTCCTCGATGGACTCTCTCCAAGCCACTTATAATGACGATTACTACGAAGAAACAACCCCCCCATCCACCTCCTCACCACCTCCGGTCACCGGCGAACATCTGAAAGATGCTCTACTCCAAGACGACACCGAGCCCGCCATTAGGGAAATCAAAACCCCAAAAGGCATCAGCAGTAGCAAACCGAAAACCTCCCAGCTTGCTGCGGCTTCGTCGGATTCTCTCTCTGAAGATCCTACAACAACCACCACGACTGCTTCCGATGACACCCAAAACCCGTTCAAAGTTTCCCATAGCTACGACGAATTAGAGGACGACGAAGAACCTCCACCCAAAAAGCAAAAACAGGTGTCGTCTTTAATAACTCCTCCATACCCTAATTCAGCACCCGCAATCAACGATGATAACCCCACCAACGCTGCTGTCGAAAACAGTAACAGTAACGGCAATGTCCCATCAAACCCTTCCCCTGCAACAAAAGCCAAGACAACAAAGAAGTCTAAGAAGAAAAACAATAATGTCTGGGCAACGAAAACGTCTAGAAAAGGGGAAAAGAAGAGCAAAGTGAATAACCAAAACGTTGGGAATGGGGAAGACGCGGTTTTGATCACACCAGTTCCGAGATTCCCAGACAAAGGGGACGATACCCCTGATATGAAAATACGTCTTTCCAAGGTTTATAAAGCTGAAAAAGTGGAGTTAACTGAGGATAGGATGAGTGCTGGTAGCACAAAGGGGTATAGAATGGTTATAGCCACCAGAGAAGTGGAGAAGGGAGCTTGGTACTTCGAAATCAAAGTAGCGAAGTTGGGGGAGACGGGGCATTCGCGGCTCGGGTGGTCAACCGATAAAGGGGACTTGCAGGCACCGGTAGGGTATGATGGCAATAGCTTTGGATATAGAGATATTGATGGGAGTAAGGTGCATAAAGCTTTGCGAGAGAAGTATGGAGAAGAAGGGTATAAAGAGGGAGATGTTATTGGGTTTTATATAAATTTGCCAGAAGGTGGGTCGTATGCTCCCAAGCCCTCTGATTTGGTTTGGTATAAAAGGCAGAGGTATGTGTGTGCCCCTGATTCAAAAGAGGAGCCACCTAAGGAAAGCTGGATGTTGTGAGGATGTTATTTATTGTTCGATTTAGAATAGTCTCTTGGTTTGCTGATAGTTTTGATGCTGTGCAAATCCCTTTCGACTACTTAGTGGGTGACTTAATTCTTGCGGATTCGGTTGGTAGATAAAAAAGAAGTAGATCCCAACCAACTTGTTGGTTCCTCCTCCAGATGGGTTCATAAAAATTAATGTTGATGGGGCGATGGTGAATGGATGGAATAAAGGTGGTATAGGGGGACTCATAAGGGACAGCAGTGGTGTGTTGATCTTCTCTGATAAGGTTGGGGGCTCCGATTATGGCAGAATTATTGGCAATAAAAAGGGGTTGTGCATGTTGACTGATTCAGGTGTCGGTCTTAATAAGAGGATTATTTTATAATCGGATTCAAGTAATGCTTTGAAGTGGATCAAGAATCCGGAATTAAGCACCCCTATGTCTCTATCCTTGGTGAAGAAGATTGTCTCTATAATGTAAGGGAAGGATATTACCTTAAGGCTTATCTTGAGGGCTGCTAATTGGGAAGCGGACAGATTAGCTAAAGATGGTATGGGATGATTGTTAGGCTTTGTTTATGGCGTGTTAGGGTGCAAGACTTCCTTACAATTTTGCAGGGATTTTGTTTTTAGTCTTATGTAATCGGTGTTAAGGTTTCAGCAGGATGAGGTGTTTAAGTCTTATGTAATTAGTGTTGAGGCTTTTAAAGTATGATGTAAGGGATGGCAGTGTATTATTCTCTTGATTAATAAAAGTAATAAGCACTCTTTTCCCTCTTCAATTGTCCTTCATGTTACTATAGTAATATGGAGGGTAAGATGAGGGTTTTTAATGAGGCCTAATATTCTATAAAAAAAAAGGGTGGTGCCTGGTAAGTTTCTACTGCTATTCTGATTAAACCTTGTTCTTTGTGTTTTGGATTTGAATGAACTGAATTGGATATGTATGCTTCTTTTATGTTTATTCCTCTTATGTTTTTACTTTACCATGTCGTTTACTGTTTCTATGTATGCTCTATTTTGATAATATCTTAGAAGAGAAAGCACAATGTAATCAGACACACTGCGTCTTCTAGGATGGTACTTTTAAATTTTGATGCAAAGTGTTCGGAAAATAATTTGTTCTTAGCCCCATTACGCTTTTGTGCATCCATTATATTTAATTATTGATCCAACTGTTTGTTCTTTTTCATTGTTTTCTTCTTGGTTTTGAATCGATTTTTTTCCAATTTCTTTTCAAGCTGGCACTATTTTGGTTGCCTTAAAATTGGATAGTTTGAGAATATTAATCTGATCAAATGACAAGTGGAGTATATTAAAGATTTAAGATACAGGTTTTAATCTATTTTAGAAATTAGTTTGGTTGACAATATGCTTTGATCCTCTTCTCATTAACCAATAATCATCAGTCATCCAGTTACCAAATTGTAGGCCTCTCCTTAATTCTTATGAAAAGATACAAAAAGATACGGGTCCTTTTAAGTAGTATTCTGAGAAGTGACATTTAAAAGCTTTTACAATGAAAATTTTATGGCTTGTTTTTTGTATGATTTGTTAGACTTTGCACTATCCCACCATCACTTAAATCATGTGGAAAATTTGAATAAAATGTCTTTTCAGAATACATTGAACCCTGAGATTTGAACAAACTGTAAGTTAGGCCTTTGCTGTATGGAAAGGAAATAGTAAGATATGAATCCTTGTAGTGTGTTTCTGAGAAGCGACATATGGAACCTTTACACAAATCAATTATATGGCTTGTATTATCGGATTCAGTTGACTGTTGCAGTATCCCACCCAAACATAAATCCTGTGGAAGATTTGAACAAAAAAGTCTGATCAGAATAAAATCAACTCTGTTGCATGGTTTTGGTTTGGATTCTGGCTTCTGCATGGTCATTGCATGGGGTGCTAGGTTCTCTCCTTTTGGCCCTTTTCTACAGTAAGGAATGTCATAATGGGTAAAGTTAGAACACTAATTATAAAGTCTAACCAGAATCTAATTGAACCTATCTGATTGGTTGTGCTATGTTTTGCCTGTTAAACCTGAACATGGATTCGGAGCATTTTATTAGAAACGAATTGTTTGTTTAAACCTGGCATCAAAGTAGAAATCTAATAAGCTGTGACTATATTTTGCGGTTTTTAACTTGCATTACCTTTTTAGACAGGCCATTGGAAAGATTTTAAACTAGCCGCACATAATAGCTTTTATGCTGGAAATGCAATACATGTATTTTTTTTAACCAATTTGCTTCTGAAATGACTATATGCTGTGTTTGATGAGGATTTGTTTAGATTATTTACAATTAGCAACAAATATACTGCTTTTCATGTGCTATGCTTGAAGTTTGATAATTACTGTTGATAAATGTCGACTTTACTGCAGGAAGTGAAATTTCTTTTTTCAAAATTGGGGTATGCCAGGAGTTGCTTTCAAGGATTTGTTTGGTGGTCGTTACTATCCTGCTGCTTCAATGTACACCCTTCCAAATCAACCGAACTGTGTGGTGAAGTTCAACTTCGGCCCCGAGTTTGAATGCTACCCAGAGGACTTTGGTGAACGACCACTTCCCGGGCCCATGGTTGAAGTTCCTTATCATGGGTTTGACAACCAAGTGGAAAATGGTGTAGCCACTGAGAAGAAACAGTAATGAGTTTGAATCGGAGACTAACATCAGTATAAAATGCCTGCTAATTTGAGGGACTGTTTTATATTCTAACTTTAATACTTTTGAAATTACGTCTGCTGAGTTAATTGATTAGATCTGTAAAATATGACTTCTCTTTAAAGATGAGAGAAAGATTTGGTTTCCTGCTTGCACTACCTAAAACCGCTTCATGAACTGACCAATGTCTTAGATTGTCATTTTATTTTACTTTTGTTTCGCTTGTATATCTTGATATGATTCGTCAATGAAGTTCTTGTCTTCCATGCTTTTGACCTTTTTGTTATTTTGAATGCTTCTCTATTGTGAATTAGTTCCTTACACAGATCTATTGGCTTTTTCTTGTAAACCTTTTGCAGTTCCTTGGAGGATAGAAGGAATTCCTGGGGATTGGAATTAAATGGGACTGTTCCCTACAGGTAAATTCTGATTCTGAATTAAATAGGAAAATGAAATAAATTCTATTGGCATCAAGCCATCAAGGAACATGATTTAGGGTTGCAAAATGAGTAGAAAGAAGTTGGAATTCTAGAAAATGTAGTAGGGTTATATAAAACTTCTAGTTTGTTTATAGATTGTAGGCACATGGAGGAGCAGGAGGCTGATGAGTTCTCCAATTTCGGTGACTAGATCATCTGTGCATGGAGCTCATGCATCGCTCGAAGAATCGGCCTTGTCTTAATACGTCGATGTGTGGAGGCGTAAGGAAGGTTCAAACTTTTACTCCAGTGTCGACTAGTTCCGGCCAATGTTCAGGTTGTTAGGTGTCTCATTGGTTCCATTGCCAAGGGTTTTGGAGTTTTTGCTATTGTTTTCGGTACTGGTTTAGTATAGTATTGCTGCAAGTTCTGTGTTATTTTGGTTTATGGGTCAGTATTCTATTGAGTTGAATTTGAGTTATTTTATTTGAAAATTTTTGGGTAATTGAATTTATTTGTTTAAGTCTATTTTCAAATTTGAATGTAATTATCTGTAATGTTATGATATTAGTTCTATTTTGAACGACTCTTTAACAATATAAGATTTAGACATATAATTTTTATATTCTTTTTTTTAGATGTTTAAGTAAGATTTGTACAGTTATTTAATAAATCAAGTATCATCTAAAATTACATTATATGTTTATAATATTATTTTTTGTTATGATAATCAGAGGATAATGTCTAAAGTAGATATTAAGATGTTGTTATCATTAGATGTTATGATATTGTTCTGCTACAACATTTTCAGACAAAATACACCAAGAACAATGGGACCTTTTTTTTTTTTTTTGGTATCTGTTTATCCTATCGGGTAATGAGCAAGGAAAGTCGCTGAAGAAGAATAAATAAAGCTGATATCGGTGAGACTCTCTCCTTGAATTTGAGTATGATGAAGAAAAGAAATCTATAAGTTATCAAAAGCATTATAACAGCTGCTAAGTCCCACCACTTTGAATGCTCCAGATTGATGCCGAGCATGGTCGAGAGGACCACATCGCCTTTTAGTTTCGGACCACCAGGTATGAAGCCGTCAAACTCGAGCCCCACCATATCATTCTTGTATGCTCCCTGCATTCTCCATTTTATAGAAAGTCAATTTCACATTGTTTATTGGGACATTGCTGCATTCCAATAAAAATATACCTGTAATGCCCATGCGCCATAGTTGATATATGAAACAGGGTAGCGCCAGAATATCTTTGGGAGATCCGGCAGCGTTCGGAAATATCCGGCTGTCATCATCAATAAACCCTGTGTAAAGGAGAAAAAGGAAGATTTTTATGATGACATTAATGATGGAGCTCTAAAAATTTGTTAAAAATTGTACTTACTATATAACCGGCTCCAATTATGACTCCCATCATGAAGTTGGGAACTAATGATGCTATCATCATCATGCAGCTCTCTACAGTTGCAATGGAGCTAACGAGATCAAGTGCGATATACATGAAATGTGAAATTCCGGGCCGGAATTTCACCATGTAATAGGTAATTGATGCAGTAGAAAGGGACATCACAGTCAAGAATGGAAATGAGGAGAGGAAATTTGACAGTATATAAACAGCAACCCCATAATGTCCATTGCGCCTTTCCCTATAAAAAAACCTATGATAGAACACCAAACAGAGGAGAAGAAAAAGGAGTTATTGAAAGCTTTTAGTATCATTAGTACTTCAATGAGACTACCCACCTTGAGTTCTTCAATGAAGGATGGGAAGCCTCCTATGGACATGAATGTCATGAAACCTGATATAAAACCACCGCACGCTCCCCGAGCTAAGATTGCATTGTAGTTTGTTCCGATGTCGAAGAAAATAGAGCCAACACAAATTGATAAGGCCACATAGATTCCTATCCTTAACCAGTAATATCCCAT